AGTTTCGTCAGAATTATGGTAGATTAGCAAATCTATACATTTTTCGAAGTTATAACATGAGGAATTCGAAAACAATGTTTACATTTGCGGAGTACCGGTATGGCCGCCCCATTGGATTTTCAAAATGGCCGCCATAAAATACATATTTGGCCGTATTTCTGCCTCTAATCACCTAAAAACTTTTTAAAATATGGTTATCCTATGTTTTCAGGGACAAGGAATCAATGAAAGTATCGAATAAGTGTTATGGAGAACAGTAATACAAAATCAAAGATTTTAACTCAAATCTGTCTTTATATTCGCGAAGTGCATAATGAAATACATGTTGTTAACAGGCAGTTAATACGTCAAGATGTGTCAATCATTCTATCATCTTAGACAGGCATCAAACTTAGACTTAGTAAACGACAGTCAACATACACTGGTAGTCTGTAACATACACACATATTTACATACATACACGTTTACAGAATATGCATTTAGAGTTCATCTTCACTGCCTGCGTGTCATGCCCGACAATACAGTCCGCATCGTTTTCACAGTCCGTTCCACACAAGCAAAGGTCGGTGCAAGTTAAGTCATTTCTTCTACATGGCACCTCTGGGTTGAGAATAGCTTTTACAATGACTGTGGTGCTGGTAGAACTTGGGTGATGATAGGTAGTATGTGACCTAGCTTTGTCGTCCTGATGGTAGCCATGTTTGTGTTGGGTAGAACAGCTGTTGCCACATGACGGTGGCCTGTCACCAAACTCTACTCTGTATTCGCACACGTTCGAATATGCTTCCTCAAAGGCACATTGTTGGTGTGGGCAACTTGTTACTGTCTGCCGGATGTTTGCTACAAACAGATGCCATATGTGGTCAGGATACTTGCGATCTGAATACCTTTTGGGCAGTACGCTAAGCATACAAAGCTGGCCAATATGTCTTTACACTCCTGCATTAGATCGTCGTTCTCTAGTATTTTATTAGTGCTTTGACTGTGTTCTTTTCAGCCTGATGTAGTGATGAAACCATTTCGTTTACCTACTCCTGAGATCGACGGACATTGTTCTGCCCAGTGAATGCGTGGAATACAAGTAACGCTGTTGTCTTGTCTCTTCTTAGCGCTCACGATGGGTCCTACCTCCACCATATAGATACCATGGCCATCAATGTGTCAGCTTCCTCGTGGTTGTTTGGGTCAAACTGCATCTCTGGTTGCTTCTAGTATGGTCCGATGCCTGAGCTGATGATTAACTTAGGAGAGTTTACGTTATATTCCAGTGTTGCCTCGCAAGGTATATGGTTATATCAGCTTTCGTCTATTCGTGAATAGGAAGCGGCCATTGGTATATGTTTGATGTTTGTATCATCTGCCAATCTGGTATTGAACAGGTCCCTTGCCTTGTCGTAGTTTCTCTTGTGTTTCTGCTTAAATGAATCTGCTTGTATGTGTCCAACACAGAATAATCACGTCGATCCTGCCTGTCATGTTCATAAGTGGTCGTTGAAATGATGACCGAGATATTTGACTGTGTGATTGTCTCGCGTTTCTTGTCATCTTCTGGACGAGTACCATTCCATCCACAACAACAATTTCGTCTAGATGTGATGTAGATGGGCGTTCCTGGATCGGCAATATCACTTAGCCTGTTCTGATGCTTCTGCTGCTGTACATCAGCATGAGTTTCTGTGGTTTTACCAAAGTGTCAAGGCTATGGATAAGCTTTGACTTGTCAGTACCATGGTAAGATTGAACCGTCGAGTGCAAACAGTGCTCTGGGGGTAAGAGTGAACTCGTAGTCCCAATCCATGCTTCTGATCGATGTCACGGCTTGATCTGGTAGTACATCAACCGACCGTACAGATCTTTTGTTTCTTTCAGATCTACCGACTGGTCACGGATCTTTACCGTTTGCTTCTTGTTTCCTGACATGTACAGCCTGTTGTTCTGCTTCTTGACTGGTGCCCAGAGGCTGACATTCCATTCATGCGTTCGCAACGTAATCCACATACAGCTTCTCCCAGTGTCGTCGATATTCAGAATCTGTGAGACACTCTCTTGTAAGACATATGTATGTTGATGAAGTGTGTAGAGCTGGTCACTCTCAGCAGCAAAGGGATTTGCCTGACTCAGTTATGGCAGCTTTATGCGATCGAACGTTGTCATGCGCTTTCCTCACAGCCATTGGTGAACATGATGATGCTCTTTGTGGCTTGTCTACAGCAAGCATTGAATTTGCATTGAATTCAGCTGAAAGACGTGACATCTCAGGAGTGCAAGAAGAACCGTTGACGAGCGTTGGCATTATTGGGAATGTCAATTAATCCAGAATGTATCTTTATCTCCTGTTGAGTTGTTCACATGCGTGATCTGCTCCAATCGAGACAAATGGAATCGTACTCTTGGTCACAGATAGAATTTCCAGTATGAAGTTCAGCCAGTTTCTGGATGGCTTGTCCTCAACTCATGCATGTCTGCGATGTAACGTGCGCCAGAGGCGCTTGTATTTTATTCGATCATGGCGAAGAATAACTTGCTTAGTGCTCCCCAGCTTGAAGGTGGAGAACGAGATCGGAATTCCTGGATGCCTCATCTCAAGTGCAAGATGGGTCAATCCGTGGATGTAGTTCATCAAAAAGTTGAACATTGCATTGAGGATTTCTGCGCTTCTCACATTTTCAGCTGTTGAATGGGTTGTAGAGATCGTCATTGGTCATCCGCTTTCTGGATTTGAGCTTCTGTCGACTGCTTGATTTGCTCAAGCTCCTGGACCTTATCTGCTGGTTCTACGCAAATGGGTTTAAGTTGGGCTTCTCTGTGAAGAACTGTTCAGGACTAGTTTATATAGAGCCATATAAGTGTGGATGTGTGCACGAAGATTTCTTTGTAGTGAGCGCACTTGAGGATCTGTCTGTTGTGGCAGAGCCGTATACGTCAGCCTCAATCAGCGCCATCATCTATTCATTGAGTTTTTTATGGACGTTCCCAGATCCTCAGCTCACCATCACAGCATGTAGCTTCGCGCCCAGTCTGCGGGACAACTGCTCCTTATCAGATCAAGTCTTGAATCCAGTAACTTGCAACCTTCTCGTACAGGGCCATGTCGAACGAAATCACTGTCCGGTATTTTTCACCAACGACCAACGTCTTCAATTCGGATGCTTGCAGAATGACAATCAGCATGGTAGGCACTCATGTGCAACTTCTGCAGCAGCTATATCAAACTCATGCACGAGTCCCGGCACGGCCGAGACCGCAGTGAAAGGGTTATATATGCATATACTAATGGAATGGTATTTTGTTTGTTTTTAATGACAATATTCTAAAACATACAAGTGTTACAGTTAGAAGTTGGTATGTCACCAATAGATTGCTTGTCCCTGAAAACATAGGATGCTATTTTTAAAAAGTTTTTAGGTGATTAGAGGCAGAAATACGGCTAAATATGTATTTTTATGGCGGCCATTTTGAAAATCCAAAATGGCGGCATACCGTATCTCCGCAAATGTAAACATTGTTTTTCGGATTCCTCAGACATAACCTTTCAAAAGTATAGGTTTGCTAATCTTACCATAAATTCTGAACAAAAAAAACATAGTGAACCTGACTAGTACTGACGAAATGGTACTGGCGCGGCGACGAAGATTCTCGACGTAGGCTCGTTAGGCATTGATAATCTTTTTTTTTCTAGATAATCCCCGCACTTCGATGTAATCGAGTGCTTTGTGAAATACAAGAGAGGGAGCCAAGATACAAGAAAGAAGAAGCGCAAACGCGTGTGCACGTGCACGTGCGTGCGTGCGTGTGCACGTACACGTGCGTGCGTGCGTGCGTGCGTGCGTGTGCATTGTGCACGTTCACGTGCGTGCGTGTGTGTGTGTGCACGTACACGTGCGTGCGTGTACATGTACATATACGCAGTGGCGTAGCCAGGATTTTTTACCAGGAGGGTGGGGGGTAAAAACAGCAAACTGTGCGAAATAGTAGATGATTTAATATTTTAATGGTTCTTCTGTCTCCCTCTCCATACCCTAGCTACGCTCCCCCACCTCTCAGCTCTGCGATCTTTCTTTTGGGCACCATGCACAAATGCATTCTCTGCTCCCACGATATCTTCAGGCACTTTTGAGTGCATGTACAACCTTCATTATGACTACGACAATTCTCTTTTTAGTAGAACAATTCTTTTTTTTTACTTTCGGATCCACAGGGGGGCATGGCCCCCTTTGGCCCCCACCCAGGGGCGTACCTACCGGGAATAGCGCCTATGGCGAGCACTAAAATTGCGCCCCTGTCCAAACATATGACACCCATCTTTTAGATAGTTTGACAATAATAACAATAATAATAATATACAGGGACGTAGCCAGCTAAAAAGTGTGTGTGGGGGGAGGGTTCTTAGTGCTATAGCTGTGGACTTTCATAATATCAGGACTCGAGTTCATGAAGACAAAGTTTGTCTTCATTAACTCCTGATACTATAGAAACATATAGGTTATGGCGGCAAAGCCGCCCGCGCTAACGCCGCTAAGCAGGAAGCAGGTAAGGGGGGTCTGGTCATCCCCCAGATTTTTTTTGAAAATGTAATGGCTCCAGGTGCGATTTCCTAGCACTTTGAAATAGTATTTTTAGACATGAACTAATGGTTTTTGAGTAACCTTTCGCCACATAACTGACTTATGGACCCGATTTCTCGAGAAAAATCAGTTTTAATCCTCAAATCTCAATATTTAGCTGTCATTGATTTGTAAAATGATTTAAACTAATTAAGTAATTTAGTGACGGTCACTTTGACCCGGTGCAAACGGTTAATTTTATGGAAATAAATAAAAACTTTACACAATAGTCAGAGAGATCAGTGTTTCGACCCCACACAACCCCTTGGCTAACTACGAACTGGCTTATTATTTCTACCGCGGTGAAAATAATTATTTCTGAGTACAGTGGCCAATCATAAAGCGCCACAGTCAGTCAATAATAGCTCGTCCAATCGTGTGGCGTGTTGTGGGAATTTCCAAATACACTGTACGTACTATGATATTGTCTATTTACTTTAGCAAGAAAGCACACCGTGTGTTGTTGTGTCTGCTACCAGTGGTAGTATATTTTACTATAAGAAGACAGACAAGGATGTTTCTCTCACGCTCTTAAGGCTTATTACTGTTAATTAAAGAGTAAGGACATTGAAATATAATATGAAATTCCGCGGAGAAGTTGTCGAGTTCATCCGTCCGTTCGAGACACGTTACAAGTAAGCTTACTGCTTAGACTTAGAGCTAGCTCCAAGAAACGGTCTTTGCTAGGGTTAGAAGACCCTAGTATATATATAGAACTAGAAGACCTGTGTATATTGACGTTAGTCACACAGCCTGGTCGGGCTAGCTTAGAGCTAGCTCTAGTACTATAGCCCGGCCTGCGGCAACTGTACGCGGTCCCCTAGATACAATAATGTAACGCAAACCCAAGAGGATAGGGGGTCTATCCTCTATCCTCTATGCTCTATCCTCTATCCCCTATCCTCTATCCTCTATCCTCTATGCTCTATCCTCTATCCCCTATCCTCTTGGGTTTGGGTTACATTATTGTATCTAGCGGTCCCCTAACCCTAGCAAAGACCGTTTCTTGGAGCTAGCTTAGAGCTAACCCGACCAGGCTGTGTGACTAACGTCAATACACCTGTATGACTAACGTCAATACACCGGTATTCTAACCCTAGCAATACCGTTTCTTGGAGCTAGCTTAGAGCTAGCTATAGTCCCTCTACCCGTGGAGCACGCTTCCTCAGTCCATATAGAATACTATAGTATTCTATATCTATGCTCAGTCCCTGCACTGCAGTAGAAAATATACTTAGATAAGTGAGAGGAGTGTGCTGTAGTGTACTTTCTGTCAGTGCTGTTTAACTCCACAAAACTTCTGTAGGGTCTTCTACTTCTAGTTCTATCATGTGTTACACTGAGTCACAGCTAGTGCATGTTGCAAAATTCCTGCACATAGTGACAGCGTGGGGGCGAAAGGCCAAGCCTATGCAATGGTATATATATATATATATATATATATATATATATATATATATATATATATAGCCTAGGTATAGCTAAGCCAGAGCTAACCTAAGCCCATGTATTGCTTTTACATGGCATCATGAGATAAATGCTTATGTTAAGTCCTAGCCCGAAGAATCAATACGGTATTTGATAAATTTTGTCTAATTGTACTAATTAATACTATGTACTTCTGATGCAATGTATATAGATCTGTGCTGAGTGTGCACCAGTGTGATACTAAAGTCAAGAGTAAGCTGTAATGTACTGCCAAAGATATCTGACATATATAGGTGTGCATCCTGTGAGAATCCATTGACAGATGCTGTGCAGACAGCATGTGGACATCGTTTCTGTGACCTGTGTGCTGTTGAGCTGCTTAAAAGGACGATGCCTTGCTGTCCACAAGACGGTGAACCACTTTTATCCAGTCAGGTATTTCTACCGCTACCGTTTAATATATCTTATTGCACACGTTTGCACACGATATCATATGTGCTTACAATATGTTTTTTGTTGATTAATATTTATTTGGTCTTTAATTCAGGGTTCTTCTAGGTGTTAACTTGTCAAATTTTGATAATATTTCTATAAATGCATTTCAAGTCTAGCTTCATAAAAATTTCTCACTGCTGTACGTACTAGTCCTTAGCTGAGGACTATAAGCTGTATTTGTTCTGAGTTAAGCTGATATAGCTGTGTGTTTGTATCATCTTGTAGAGATGCAAATTCATGCGAGTGAAAGTTGATTTCGGACGCTTGGATCAGAACCTCTTCGAAGAGCGTCCTACTGTACTTAGAATAATTGATACTAGAAGCCAACTGGTATTATTAACATTTGAGTAGACATTCGCTGTAATCAGGTTTAGATGGCCATTGGAATCTTTAGACATGAGAACCTTCAAAATAAGAGGGCCCACCATAAGTAGCCAGTGCATCTAGAGAATATAAGTGACGCATGCAGCAAATAAAGGAACCAGGAGTATTGGCAGCGAGCCAGTGTCGAGGAGGTTGGGTTTGGAAACGTTCCATAATGACGCAAGAGTGAGCATCATACATGCCAACCTATTTTGAATGAAAAGTGGTAGATCCGCGTGCGACGCAGTCGCGCGCGCCGCTAGGGGGGTCTGGGGGCATGCCCCCCAGGAAAATTTTCAAAAAATGGTGCTAAAT